ATGGAAGAAGATGTTAATAAACCTACTTGACAAAATGAGATCAGGAGGTTATGATAGTCGTTTTTTTATTGTGAATCATTTATTGCTAATTGAATATGGAACCAATCAAAAACAACCTAATTGTAAGCTATTATTTGCTGATATGTATTTATTAATAATTCCTCCCGAAAGTAGTTATTCCTGATTTGTCACTTGCTCATTTTTAATTGACCAATAACTAGTCATTTCCTAGTAACTAGATAAAGGTTAACCAGCACTGAGTCTGAGGTGGGTTTTCATTCATTTCCATTAAATTAAATAAGCATGGCTCTTTCTGCTCAGTGTAGTCCCAATTTATTCTGAAACAGATAAACTGCCAATTTTGTTGCATAACCTCAGGCCTTCATTCAGTTTGCTCTGGATGTGAGGAGGTCTCAGAGGTCTGGATCTGTTCTGCTTCTGGTTGTTCACCCTCGTTGCTGCCTTTTTTGGATCTGTGGCGTGGTGTGCCGTTCAGGACACTCTCAGAGGTCTGCAGTGTCTGGAAGTGCTTCCTGGAGCCCAGCAGGGAGGGGTTGTTGACCAGTGTGTAGAGCAGCTGCCATCGAGCTCGAACCTTCCAGCTGCCGGTCGCCTTGTTGGGTCTGTTCTCCTGAAGCCCTGGAAGCATGAAGGAAGAGGAGAATGAGGACAGAACGAAGGCTCGGGGTCAAAGAGTGCACGTTGTGGGACTTGATTTATCTAAAGACAGAGATTTAATATGAGCCTGAGCTGCTCACAGTGTCTATATGTTAATTAGGTCAAATACAACCGAGTCTGAACATTTTTAAGGTTTGAGCACAAACAGTTAAAAACAATTAAATCCTGAAAGTCCAATTAATTTTACGTCTATATCCCTTAACTGGGGCAGCACGGTGGCACAACTGGTAGAGCTGCTGCCTCTCAGCGAGCAGGTCCTTGGTTCAAACCCCGGTCCAGGGGCCTTTCTGGGTGGAGTTTGCATGTTCTCTCCGTGCATGCGTGGGTTTTCTCCGGGTACTCCGGTTTCCTCCCACAGACCAAAAACATGCATGTTAGGCTGATTGGTAACTCTAAATTGTCCCTAGGTGTGAGTGAGAGAGTGAATGGTTGTTTGTCTCATTTGTCTCTGTGTGTCCCTGTGATGGACTTGCGACCCGTCCAGGGTGTACCCCGCCCCTCGCACAGTGATTGCTGGACATGGGCACCAGCGACCCCCGTGACCCAAAATGGAATAAACGGGTAAAGAAAATGGATGGATGGATGGATGGATCCCTTAACTGCTTAGAATATTTTTTTTCACAAAACAACTAGTCAGTACAGGTATTTTAGAGACTTCTCTGCCTAAAACAAATATATCAAATTCATATGACTTTTTGAAAATTGTAACTATTTAAGGGTCTTTTGTAAAAATAAAAATAAAATTTTTTTTAAATAAAAAGTTTTTTCAGTTTTTTAATAAAATCAACAAAATATTTATTTTACAGAAAATCAAAAGCATTTTCCTTCATTTGTCCACCTTTAATCTTTTATTTTTATTTATTATTTTTATTCCTGTCCTGTTTTGTGAAGAGCCTCCAGCCCAGCGGACCTTCAGATCCAAAGCCTTGTGTTGGTCAAACTCTCATGTCTCTCACTGTTCACACATGTTTATTTTCTTTCTTATAACTGTTCCAGTTTTCTTAATTATTATTTTCTTTTACTTTATTTACTCTGTCCATGTAGGAATCTGTATTTTGTTCATTTAGTTCCTTGTGTTTCCTGCACTCCCCTGTGTTTTCTGATGTATTTTTTATCTTTATTCACTTTTACTGACCCAGATATAAATGGTAAATGATAAATGGACTATACTTATATAGCACTTTTCCATCTCATCAAGATACTCAAAGCGCTTTGCAACACAATCTGTGCCCTCATTTACCCATCACTCTACTAGATGTATACAAAGAATAATCAGTGCTTCATCACATTCATACACCGATGGGACACACATTGGAGGCAATGAGGGGTTAAGTGTCTTGCCCAGGGACACTTCAGCATGTGACTGCTGGTGGAATCAAACCTCCAGCTCTTGCATTAGAGGATGACTGCTCTAAGCACTCAGCTTATAGCTGTATATATCAGTGAGCTGTGGGCGCACGGTGCACCCACTACTGACCCGCTAATTTGGGAAAACCAGCATGTCTGTCAGCCATTGTCAGCGTCCAGTTCTGCAGCCTGCATGCATGTGAAACAGCTTTTTCAGAATAAATGTTTGCTGGTATAACATGCAAGTAAGATTTTGCTGTTTCTATCCAAACTAAAAAAATCTTGTTGAACGATATGAACGGTGTGACTCTGCAGCAACGTCTGGCTGACAGAAGGTCCTGCTTCTAGGTTGAGTTGAAGTCTGTCAGTGCATTTTTACAGAGGCTCGAAAATATAAAAGCAGAGAACCACCTAGTGGACTAATACGAAAATTGAAAGTATAGGGATAGAGGTAAAAATATATATACTGAGAGGAATGCATTATTTTATGAAATAATAAATGTGGGCTCAAAAGTTATATTTACAGTATTTTAATTTGGCTTATATTCCCCTCAGGAACATGAGAGTGCAGTAAAGTTACTGTGAGGTTTTGAAAACATTTGAAGGAATAAGTAGAAGAATTTTTAGGCTTTGTCAGAAAAAGTTGTGTTTATTGACTGCACCAAAAGTTGCAGAGTCCTGAATCAGCCAAATTTTGCCTACCAAAACAAAATTCTGCACAGTAAGTTTTTTTGTGTGTGTGTGTGGGCGCAGTGGGGGTGCTGCACTCTCATGTTATTGACAG